AGGGTTTTACATGGTTTTTGACATAGGATCCCATGTGGTTTCCCATATGGGGATTTTCAATAGGGATACCACTTTACACTCTCTAAATCTGAATCAGCGAAATTTCACTGATTCTCAGCGATAAGTATGCCACTATTTTAAAACAGCGTATATGCGCTAATTAATCAGTGAAGTTTCACTGATTATTTAGTGAAATTTCACTAATTCACAGCGCATATACGCTAATTGAAATAGTGGCATACTTATCGCTGATTCAGATTTAGAGAGCACGCTTGAAAATGAAGCTATTTTCTAGAATTTTTTTTTACGATTCCTATGGATTATATTAATTTGCATTTTTTTTAGTTCAATAAATACACTCTTTCACTCTATAAAAAACCTTATTTTATTAAAAAAATATTATTTGTTTATTTATAAGATTTAACTATAATTTTAGACCTGCCAAAAATACCGATGCCAACTGCGGGATTGACTTCTCAGGTTAGAAAAATCTGAAACACAAAATTCAAGTTGCTTTATCTTCAGTAGGACTGTACCTATCGCCCGAACTAGAATTTTTAATTTTTATGCAAAAATAATAAAATGGCGCCAATTTCAAATTTTTTGTTCGAAAATTAAGGTTTTTTTGGCAGTTTTTCGGTTTAAAAAAATAGTAAAAATGAATATTTTTAAATAATTCTAGTTCCGGCGATACCCACCCATGTGACGAAGATTTTCGTAAAAAATTTTTTAGAATCGGTCCAGTAGTTTCCGAGAAAAACATCCTGCAGCGTGGAAAAATGTGGTTTTGAGAAAAACGCGTTTAAAGTTTGTGTTGTATACTTACATACTTATATCATCTCATTTTAAATTTTGAAAAACTGCAAAATGACTAAGTACCAATGTTATTTTATTTTGTTAACCGCAATATTGTATCCGCCATTTCAAATTTTAAACACTGACCTCATATTCGTATTGGGCGGTCCCAAAACCATCGAGTGACAAATTTTATGTTGTCATAAACCATGAGAACTCCGCAGGAGGAAGCAAATTTCTTGATGATCCTAAAGAGGAAGCAAATTGTTTATGCAATGACCATCTGGATTCACATCTTGTTATACTCTAAAATACAGTAAACTTAAATTAAGATGTTGTAGACACAAATATGTTGCTCCAAAGACGACAGCAACAAAATCAGAATATAATACATAAAATATTTTACCTATGGGGTCATTCACAAACTACGTCACGCTTTTTCCGACTGATTTTACCCCCCCCCCCCCATTCGTCAAATTTTTTACATACAAAAAATTTTTTTTTCACACTTCATCACACACAGTTGAACCCCCCATCCCTAGGAATGTGACGTAGTTTGTGAATGACCCCTATATGCCCACAGTTAATATGAAATTTATTTTACAGAAAAATATGATGATATCACAATATGATAAAAAAAGTAAATCTTTGATAAAAATGAACTTTAAAAAGTGACAAAACAGTCAAGATTAAGATACTTTTTCTCAGAAAAATAGTAAAAAATTACGTCTGCAGCACAAAAAATATTTGAACTACGAAAATAAAAACAATCCTAATAATTTTTTCTTTTAATTAATAGGAAAAAATTAACCATTTCCCGCAAGATAGGACTAAAAATTTTAAATGTAAAAAGGGTCAGACCAGCTCAACTATGTGTTATAAAAATTTCATTGACTTTTTAAAATGTCAAAACTGTCATAAAAATCTGTGGTTCACAACTAAACATAAGATCACTTTTAACCGTTTCTTGAAATTTTATATTTTTGGTATTTTTTTCCATTAACAAAATATTACAACATTTAAAAAAAATTAATAACTCAAAAGCCGCGTTTACAATAAGCTAATGGAACTTACACTGATTACACAAAGTTATTCAATCTTTTAAATGAAAATATTTGCATGATTCTAAATTTAAAAATTTCATATTTTTAATAACAATTTTATAAACAATGTGAATTATTTATGTGTTCAAACCAGGGATGGCTTCGAAACTAAATAAAAACGAAAAAATAATTTAGTTTTGATTCTGGAATCGAAACTAAATATTCGGTGTATTTAGTTTTGATTCTGGAATCGAAACTAAATATTCGGTGTATTTAGTTTTGATTCTGGAATCGAAACTAAACACATTGACTATTATGTTTTGGAGGTCAAATTTAAACAAAACTAAATTAGAAAATCAATTTAGATTCGTATCTGGTAGTAAATTTTAATCAATTCATAAAATACAATTACATAATATTAAATTATAATATGTAATTACTATATTTTTTCTTTTTTACACAAAATTTTTTACAAATAATATTAGTATTATTTATTAATATATTATTATAATTCCGATCGGAATTCTGATAAGAATTCCAATTAAAATCCTGATTTCCGACGGAATTCCGATCCCATCGGAATTTTCAGAATCCAGATCGTAATTCTGACAGAATTCTTATAGGAATTCCAATCGAAATTCCGATCGGAATTCTGATAGAATTCTTATAAGAATTTCAATAAAAATTCCGATCCCATCGGAATTTTCATAATTCAGATCGGAATTCCTTCAGAATTCTTATTTTTAAAAGTTTTAATTAATTAATTAATTAATTAATTTTAATTAATCAATTTCTATAAATTTGTAGAATTAACAGAACAGTGCAGAAATTATTTTTCAAGAAGTGTCAATTTTCAAAATTGAAATGTTTTGCCGGAAAATGAGAAAAAAATTATTTGTTTATTTAATTACTATATTTTAATTGTTATTTTTTCTTTAAGTTTCTAAAAAAACATTTCAGAATAATGATTTCTATAAATTTGTAGAATTTACAGAACAGTTTAGAAATTTTTTCTCAAGAAATGTGAATTTCTTAAAATTGAAATGTTTTGCCGGAAAATAAAATAAAAATTATTTATTTATTTAATTACCATTTTAATTGTTATTTTCGTTTAGTTTCTGCGAAAACATGTTAAACTAATCAATTTCTATAAATTTGTAGAATTAACAGAAAAGTTTAGAAATTATTTTTCAAGAAATGTGAATTTTGAAATGTTTTGCAGGAAAATGAAAAGAAAATTTATTTATTTAATTACGATTCTCATTTTTATTTTCTTTTACTTTCTGGGAAAACATTTCAAGTTTACAATTAATAATTTTCATAAATTTCTCGATTGAATAGAACAGTGCAGACATTATTTTTAAAAAGAGTGAAATTTCGATTTTTGAAATGTTTTCCCGGAAAATGAGAAAAAATTTATCAATCTAATTACTATTTTAATTGTTATTTTCTTTTAGTTTCTAAGAAAACATTTCAAATTAATCAATTTCTATGAATTTCTAGAATTAATAGAACAGTGTAAAAATCATTTTTCAAGAAGTATGAATTTTCAAAATTGAAATGTTGAAAATGAAAAAAAAACTATTTAATTTATTTTCCTAAAAAATTTTATAAGTTATAACTTATAACTGGATCTTCTAGCTGGTACCAAGTTAGGACCGGCCTAGGATATATAAAAAGGGTGTTGCCCAGTTAGGACCAAGCTAGGGCCAATAATCGTTTTAGGCCCACGATTAATGGGAATTAAAAAAAAAAATTCGCAACTTTTACAAACTTTACAAACTTTGCAGGGCTCGGATTGTGCGACTTTTTCGATTTTTTTCGACTTTTCTAAGGAAATGTGACTTTTTTCGACTTTTTTGTGAAAAAATGCGACTAATCGACTTTATCGAGATTTTTTTTAGTAAAATGCGAATAAAATAAAATTTTTTTTTAAATTTAAAGAAAAAAGTTTGAGTAAAAAAAATGTTCTGTTACATTTATTTACAAATTCCTTGCAAATTTTTCAAAAACATCAATAACTTCTTTTTTTTTAATATTTAATTATTATTTTTCCATAGGAATTAAAATTCTTCAAAAGATTCAAATTCAAATCTTTTTGAAATTAAACAACTTACAAAAAAATGGTTATAAAATTTTTCAAAATAATTGAATTTCTGTAAAGAGTTTATTTACGTCTAAAGATAATTCAATTTTGCAAAGAATTTTATAAGAACTTTTGAAAATAATTAAATTTCAAGAAAGAATTTTATTATTTTTGGTAATTAATTGGATTTCTAAGATAAATTTTATTATTTCTAAAGAAAATTAAAAATTTGACAAGAATTTTATTAAAATTTTTAAAAAATAATTGAATTTCAGAGAAGAATTTTATTATTCACAAAAATAATTTAAACTTTGAACAAATTTTTTCTAAAAATGTTTAAAAATAATTGAATTTTGGAGAAGAATTTTATTATTTATAAAGATAATTAAAACTTTGAACAAACTTTTTCTAGAAATGTTTAAAAGTAATTTAATTTTGATATTTATAAAGATAATTGAATTTTTGAGAAGAATTTAAAAAAATTTTTTAAATAATTTTAACAAGATTTTTTTTTAATTTTTAAATAATTTTGACAAGAATATTTTCAAAAAATTTTTTAAATAATTGAATTTTGGAGAAGAATTTTATTATTTATAAAAATAATGCTATATATTTTAGTTTTATTAGACATTTATTTAATTTAAAGAGACCTACAAACTATTTTATTCTACATTGTAGATTTATCAACAACGATAGTTTGAACGTCCGTGTCCATTCTGTCGTCTAGCATCAATTCAGTGTTACTGTCAGAAGTATTTGCAGAATTATTCTCCTGTGAATTGATGCTAGACTCATCAGTAACCTCTTTGTTACTAACTTTTTTTTGTTTTTTTGTTTTTTTACATTTAATATTCTTATTAATGAAGTTTGAATTTGTTCTGACTACCAAAATGTCATCTAACATATCAGGTTTAAGATTTCCTCTCAGGGTTGAGAAAATAAATCTCATCCCTGAGAACAACCTTTCGACGCTGACTTGTGTCATTGGTGTAGCGTGAACAATAGTCGCCAACTTGTATAATTCTGGCGATATTGTTTTGCGAGATTCCCAAAATTGTAGAAGGTCCAAGTCTCCATCTGAAGCAGGCGTTTTCTCGAATTCGTCCAATATCTGGTTTAAACTAGATACATTGGAGAATCATTTTTGCCTTTCTGCATCCCTCCTTATTCTCTCCTGATCGACAATATTTGTAATATTGTGGTCAACCAACAACTGAAAAAAAATAATTATTTTCTAAAGTGGATATCATAAATTGCATTTTACGGGAATACAATTTTTTAAAAAATGTGGTTCCTTTAATTTTTAAACAAATATTCTAAAGTTGTTTCATCGAAAAAATCTTAAAGTGAGAAGGAAATTCCGCTTAACAATTATTTTTACGTTTTATTTTTAATATACTAATATTCATCTACAAAAAGTGGAATTTTTGTTTATATTTGACAGTTTTCTTTAATTAAAAGATGAATTTTAATGTTTCTTCTTTAGTTGAAATTATTCCTCTAAAATTGAAACAAATTTATACTAGAAAGAAGATTTTTAAGTTGTCTTGTTTTTTTGAATGCAGCTTCAAACTGTTTAAAAAGGAAGATTTAATGGAAAATATAAAAGAGGAAAATCCTCTCAACTAGAAAGGAAAACATTATTGCCCATATGTAAGAGGAAAAAATGTTGCAAATAAAGAGGAATAATTTAAAATTGAAAACATTTTTCTCGGTATTTTAATAATGAAAAAATTGACGATATAATATTTGTGTTATAATCTTATAATAAATAAAATTTTCAAAGTTTCTATTTCTTTATTTTAAATTAATTGTTTCCTACCTCGTCTTCTACTTCAGGAGTTTCTTGTCTTGATCTTTCAGTGGTCGGAGTCATATTTACATTCGAAGCTTCGATAACATCCCATATTTTTAATAAAACTTGCTTTGCCAGTCTACAATCTTCTTCCTCTAAAAAAGTCAAATATCGAGGATCCAAAAACATGGAGGCAATCAGAGCCTCATTTTTTAAGAGATCATTCTCTCTCTCCTCAATTTTATCCACGAGTTTTGTGGCAAGGTTGTTTTTTACTCGCTCTGTGAGAAGTTTGCATTCTCTCCAGATTCCGAAGAAGTCTCCTGGAAAAAGATTTTCATTTTGCATCTTCAGGGTTGCTTTCTTGCACGGTAGTAATGCTGTGAGGCAATCTTCAATATTCTTCCAGTCCATATCGCTGAGCTTCAGTGATGGTTTTTCTTTCGAAAATTTTCGGCATACAGATTTAGCCAAAAGAAGAGACGACAACATGTCTGCCGTTGAGTTCCACCTTGTTGGGACATCCAAAGTTGGCTTCTTTACCCCATACTTCGCTAACAGACTGGTATTATTTCTTAAAACTTTGACGACACTTCTAGCCTGAAAAATAATTAAATTTCCAGGATGAATTTTAATATTTATGAAAATAATAGAAATTTTAAAAAGAAATTAAAAAAATTTTTTTAAATAATTTAATTTCTGCGAAGAATTTTATTATTTTTGATAATTAATTGATTTTCTAGGATAAATTTTATTATTTATAAATATAATTGAAATTTTTACAAGAATTTTATCAAAATTGTTTACAAATAATTGAATTTCAGAGAAGAATTTTCTTACTTTTGATGATAATTGTACTTTGCAATGAATTTTATTAGAACTTTTGAAAATAATTAAATTTTGATCATAAATTTTAGTATTTATAAAATTTTGACTAAAAATTTTTGAATATAATTTAATTTCTGCGAAAAATTTTATTAAAGATTAAATTAAAGATAGACATTTCTGGAAGTCAAGGGAGTGTGAGAATTTTGTTCTTTATTACAGTCTACCAATTTTAATCAAATATATGATTGAAGCTTTATACATATTATTAAAATCCGAAATTTCAATTCAGGAGTTAGACTATGCAGTGATTTGTTATTACATTTAAGCTATAATGTTTATAATTGGAGAGCTCTTACATCTCACTCTGCGTAGTGCTTCGAAAGTGGTAACGGACTATATTGTTGAAAATAATACACGTATGCAATTGTCAGAAAGTATATTGTCGATGAAAGATAACAAAACGTGAATACGTTTTGTTGAATTTTACAGAGACAAAAAGAGTATTTCGAACAAAACATAAAAGGTTGCATAGTGTCGTCAAAGTTAGTAAAGATGTGCATGCGATGTTTGTCACAGTTATAAAAAAAATTGTTGTGTCTATAAATTTTTTTGATACAACATATCTGTGTGTTGTACCCAATTTATTGCATTATTGACTGCAATATATTTTTCTACTGAAATTTAATATTGTTTTTAAATAAAATAAAATATATTTTGAAATGCTCAAAGTTGTGAAATTTAGTGTTGCTTCCATTAAATATACATTCATTCTCAAAAATAATGTTTTCCTTACAGTTTTGCGCAATGAAAATTTCTATAATATTTGAAAATCAAAATAAATAACGAACAAACAAATATTGCTACAAGAATTTGTATAAGAAATTTAGTGAACATATTTAACATTTAAGAAATAGTGTAAGAACTTTTACAAGAAATCGTGTGACCTAAACCAAGACACATGTTCTTGTATCGTAACTTGTATCAAGTAATTATAGCTCTACTACTGATATACAAAAACTTGTACAAGTTTCTTAAACAGGGTAGGTTCCGTTGTATCAAGATAAAGAGTTTTGCAAAAATTTGTAACCATTTCATATGCAACTAATTTTCGACATGGAAGCAATTTATAATTGTCGTAATCGTATACTGAGGTCAAGGGTACTTCCATCGATATAGTATTCCGACAATGAGAAACATCTTCTTGCCTGGTATTTATCGGCGCCTTCATGCGGTTATATTGTACACGGTTATTATTAGGTTTTAATAACAATTCCTACATTGTGACCGACGAACGAGCAGAATTTTCTTCCTTTAAGTTTTCAATGAAACTTTGACTTCTTTCTGCAGATGAGTTAACAATACCTGGAGGACGTGGATCAATGGCTTTCTTTTCCGCAAAATTTCTTTTGCTTTCATAAATATTCTCATCAGCCATAACATGACATTTCCTTGGACGACCACGGTTCCACTCGCAAAGTTTGGTAGTGCATGCATTGCTTGATTGAACTGTCACCGTTTCCTGAACCGCACTTGGTATTTATATGTCGTAGGTAAAGGTTTGGTTTGTGTCAGCTTACTGTAATATTGCATAGCTAGCCTGCCGCAAGCTTACGACAGGATTACTGCAAGATTGCTCTCACTCTACATATCTCGCACGGACTTGCTCTAATACCAATGGGTTCAGAAGCTTCTGTGTTGGTTGTCCTTTAGTGAAAAGTCCCGCCACCACGACAAAGGCTACCTAACTTGTCCATGATGTTCGTCATGTTGGGCAGTGGACAACCACTGCCCAACAAATCGATGACATCTATTATGTTTGGCAGTGGAAATCATTGGCGTTCATCGGTTCATTTCATTATTTTGATTGTTGTTATTAAAAATAGGTCACTATGACATGACAAATGTTTTAACAAAATATATTATTTATATAATAATAAAAATGTCTGTACTACCCTACTGAAAAATCCTATATATGTTCCTACAAAGAATATTATAAATTATTATAGGATTCTTTATAGGAACCTATGTATGTTTCTATCAGGAAATTTTCGGTAAGAAAAACATGTTTTCCTATAGGGTTCTTTATAGATTCTTATATGGCTCTTATAGGAATCTAATAGGATGACCTATAGTTTTCTATATATAGGGTGTTAAATGGATACCTATAAGAGAATCCTACAAAAATTTATATACTTTTCTATAGGATCCTATATAGGTCAGGCAATAAATTTTCTTTTAAATTTATACCCTGCTTAAAATTCTTGTACAAGATCTTACACATGATCATGTACAAGATCTACTTGTACAAGAATTTGTACTAGATCTTATACAAGTTTAGATACAGGAAAATGTACACAGAATTGAAACAAGTTCTTGTATCTGAACTTGTACAAGATCTATATTGAATTTTCTCTTTACCCCAATACAATGATTTTAATCTTTTACAATTTCCTGATTTTCTGAATGGAATCACCTTAGTTTTTGAGATGTTTAAATGTGTATGGAGTGTGTTTTCTATGACGGTATAATAATGCTTACCACCCAACATGAGAATATTTGCATTAAGTAAATAATCTTCTTTCCCCATGGTACCATGTACATAACCAAACTTTCAACCCTTTTTTATTCCCGGTAAAAAGGCAGTAATTAAGAAAAATTTAACTTATGACCCAGTAAGAAACGAAAAATTGAAAAGGATTGAAATAATTCAAACTCTGTATGGTGTAGTAGAAATTATCCAATACTTTTGAATGCCATTTCTGTCCAATACTTTTCTATACCATGATAGGACCACGTTTCGTCTAAAAATGAATGCTATTCAATTCTGTTTGTAATTGTTAACAAAGACAAAATTTTTTTCTGAATGCTTTCCAATCCCATCCGAAATTATTACAGCCTGTCATTATATCACTTTTCAATTTTTCATTGGAACCGCGTTTCTGCATGCATTCAAGCAATCTTCTGGATTTTTGTAATTTATAAGATACATACAGTGGCAGATTTTGTAAAAAGTGTTTGTGTTCAAAGAAAAACTTGCTGAAAAATTGATTGTTTACCAATTTAACGTCATTTAAACGAGTCAGGGCCGTTATTCTGTTAGACAATAAATCATAACCTAAAAATTTCAGAGACCTTTAAACACTTTTAACCCTCTTAACTGATAATTTAATAATTATTCCTTTTTAAAATAGCAAATAAATTCATGAGTGCAGTTATTTGAAAGTAATTGAACATTCTATATGTCAACAATATTAGTATTATATTATTATACTACTGTCGCGGAATTCAGAAGCATAGGATAGAAATGGTATTCAAAAGGATAGAATTTTTTTAATGCTTCTTAATCTTTGCTTTCTTACTGGGTATTCAAGAGGATTGATATCGTTACTATTTATATTGCTCTCACTGGATAGAAAAGTATTGGACAGAAATGGCATTCAAAAGAATAGAATCTTTTTAATACTTTTCAATTTTTCGTTTCTTACTGGGGAGGCACTCAGTAAAAAAAATTCAATACACAGACCGCGGAGTTCGTATACGAGCTCGGTAACTCGTATGAGAAATATGAGGAAACTCTTATACGAGCCTTTTCCGTAATGAGAAGTGTATAGATGCTTGTATACGAGGTGACTTTTAAAGCATTTTTCTTAATATACACGGAGAAACTTTTAATACCACTAATTCTTAAAACTGGTAAGACATTTTAGTATGTTAGGTTAGATTCAAGGGAAAAACGACATAGGTTATAGAAATTGCTATGGAGACTATCAAAAACACTCATTCAGTATATATTTTACAGTTCTTCATAAGGAAACTAACGAAAATTAGTATGTTGTTTTAGAAAGAAAATAATAATTTTTGCAAAGTTGGGAAAGCCATGAATTAAAAAGAAACACAACAAATTAATTGTCTATAGATACTCATAGAGACGATAGTGATACTTGGATCTGATGGTAGATGGCATTAGTGAATGTCACTGTAACTGTAGGTAAATATATTTAACACGATGTAAGAACCTAACCTATATTAATAACGCACACACGCACACGCAAGTAAAGACACGACGATTGGTCACGGAAACCGAAAGATCGCACGATTCGTTAGAAGTACACAGCTGAATCGTCCTTATATATTAAACGAGTGGAAAAATATGTACCTTCGAGAGAGAGCATTTTTTTAAATAACTTTCTAATCAAATTATGTAAATAAGTAAAAGTCGTGAAAAAAATTATGTTATATTGAGGAACAGTTCTTGAATTTAATTTGGCATGAGGAGACATTCACGTTTATTAATAAAAGGTTTTTTCTTTCATACACGTGTGAATTTCAACTTCTTCTTCTTTAGAATTTCAACTTCGAAAACATTAGGGTTAGTTCGCGACGTCAGGTGATGGACTCGGTGATGCTCGGGTGAAATCGGTTAAGTCCGCCCGCAGTCCTTCCAAAATTGGTATGTTACGTTAGAATGTCTCTTATATATTCTATCTATATGTGTAAAAAAGGTTAGAATTACCGTATTATTTCACAAACAAAAACTAGCATTTTATTCTTTTCTAAAGAAAAATAAGACTATTTCTAATGCACATAGTAATTTTTGTACACCGAAGGTTGCTTAATATATAACGAACTTATCATATTTTCGTATTAATGTTGAAATTATTAGCACAACGCACGAAAAATCCTCACATTCTAACGTACTTTTAGAATAAACATAACCAAATATATTTAATATTATAAGAAAAAGTTTCTCCGTGTAACACTATTTTAAAGTA